TATATATTTACCACCCACTTCCAACATACCTATTTACCAGTCTGTCACATAAATACTGATGATATTGGTGGGTAGTTTTGGGGGCCCCATAAACAACCATCGGTGCAAGCACCTTTTGGGAGGCTGATTTATCGGTATAGACCAAAAGTCTACGTTTACATGATGTAATCATCTGTGTTTAAAGTTTTCTGAAAGGTGAATGTATGGATAAGGGATAAATGTAATAATGTAACAATGTGAAAGAAAGGTGAAAATACAGACCTGTATAAAGGATATATCCCTTACGAGAGATTTATCTACTAAACAAGAACAAAACAAAACTCAACAACATAGTGAACCAACCTAATATATTCCTACCCAGTCAGAGACAGCAATGGTTTGAATTAGAATGAGTCATTTCCTGGCCGTGGGGGAGGTTGTTTTGGGTGGGGGTGTCGGAGGGTTTGAAATGATCGACAATTATCTTGAATTTGGCTTGGTGTTTTACGGCACATCATCACAAGTAGGTCATTTAGTGCTGAGGCAACTGGAGCAAAGTGCCTTGCCCAATGACAATCCACGGTAGCTGACCCAAGATGTTCCAGATATAGGATTCGAACTCTTTCGCGAGCTCGGCACTATAACCAGTCACCGTAAGCTCTTTGGTAGTAAAAGCTTGTAAGTTTTAATGCATTTGCGGTGTTAGAAATTCCAATATCGTGTGTATATGGTGAGGAATTCCCACAATACACGCAAAAACTGCTTGGCTAATGCAATGTTGATCATTAGCCTTTAGAGAAAAAAAAGTTTGTACACATGCAGTCTCTTCTAGAAAGTAATTTAATCCAAAGACAACGCTCCAGTTAGAAAGAATTGAAAAGGTGACTCACACAAACACGTTCTCTCCTTTTCGTAATACACCCAATTTTGCACACCTACCTTAAAATGCTAATCCCTAACCAAACTGATTGAAACCCAGTCTTTATAATTTACATTTCACATTGCTGATGGTGTTCCAGCAAACGTTTCCCTTTGAAACGCATAAAAATGCCTCCAGATATGAATCTTTTTATTCAAACCACCACCACCCTCCGAAAATGTCGACCTGGATCCAAAATAATTTACAGTACATGCATATATGTTTTTTTTTTTGTTGTTGTTGTTGTTTCTTTTCTGAGTCGGTATAGCAGGAAGTTTTGATCATAGATACAATAATAATCTGTCATATTCAATATTTTAGTCACGTTCAACTTCACAGTCCTCTTTAACCGTCTATTCTCTTACGTGACATAAATAATTTCTATTATTCGATCGTGTAATGCACCCATCGGAATTGACGTAAGATGACTCATTAGTACGAGGGAAATTTCAGTCATCAAATGTGATTTATACCTACATCGGTAAACAAGAGCGGATAAATTGTACCTACCTAAACTGGTTCATCAAAACTTCATTTATAATCTATTGAACATCAAAAAAGGTTGTGTTTCGCAGGCAGGTATATCCAGGTAGTACTTTACAAACCGACGTCACATCCAATCATGAAGTAAAACTGCTTCAATTTGATAAACACGTTGATTACCTTTAAACACACACACATTGTACGTTAGTATCAAATACGCTTATATCTACTTTCCGACCGGTAGAGTTTAGTCGCACATCCTACGAGGCCGCAACACAGTATGGTGTTATGTTCTGTGCATCTGATCTTGTATACATGATCGTTGGGACAATGAAATACCTTTTTCCGAGCCCGCTGGCCTTAAAACCTACCGCCTAGGTCGACGGTTGACACTTATATTTCATTGGTGAAATGATTATTATAGAAAATCTCTTTTTAGTAACTGGGGCGTAGATCGTCAAAACCTTATTGGGGCGTTAAACGCTGCATATACAATATTATTTATAATTGAAGTAATAACTGCTATATATCTGCATTTATATTTGACATTTTTGCTCGTGTTAAATTGCATGCATGGACTACAGAAAAATGATATAAGAGGGATGTGTCTAAATCTGATTATTGCTGGATGCTATTGCTACAGTCAAGAAACAGGAAGCCAAAATTATAAACTGAACATGCGCTGGTAATCATACCGCACAAACATATCTTTACAAAGTTACAATAGTTACTGCATTATATCGTTAAAGGAAAGCGAGACTTAACAGTGAATACCTCGTGTCTAAATACCAATAGTAGATTATCAATAGCCCAATAGCCTATTTAGATTTGTTATTTTAGATAAATTGTTCTAAATGCGCGAAGAAATTAAATCTAAAAACTTAAATATGAAAGCTTTTCACGTGATGAATACGTTCTAGATATTTCTATTCTGGCTTCTTCTCCTGAACAACGAATATGCAATTGTGACATGAACCACATCGAAATGAATGCACAAAACTACAGAATTAAGCATGGACACCTAAAAATCCAAAATGACTTTTATATGACAGAAAATTTATATAGTTATACTATACTTGTCAATATTTCTCTTTTTTTAAATTAAACATTCGCCAGCTTTGCTGGTAACATCGAATTTATTGGGGGAAAAAACAAAGAAATTACCCGCAATTCAGTAATAAACTCCACTCTAAGAGGAAATCAATCAGAAATTTGTAAAAGAAACAACATAGTCTATGTATGGAATGGATACACTATCTAATATTAAGTAAAGTGGACTTGAATGCCTCAAGTCTAATAGTTCTAGCAGGGCCGATCGGTGGTAAAAATGTACCTCCTTCACCCCCACCTCACCCCACCCAAACCCCACACTCTTGTTCTTACGATGAAGATGGTTAATGTACACATCTACAGCTGAACCTAGACGGACAACACATCTGTGTTAGAATTGCATGTATGTCAAATGGTGGACCTAGACGGACAAAACATATGTGTCAGAATCTGCAAGTCTATCAAATAGCAAACATAGACGGACAAAATATCTGTGATAGAATTTGTATGTTTGTCAAATGGTGAACCTAGACAAACAAAACATTTGTGATGGAAATTGCAAGTTTGTCAGATCGATTTTATGATCTACTCTGGAATTGGAATCACTACTTTCTGATATATGGTTTTACAGTGAATGACTAATCTATGTGTTCGTATGTATTATAGTCATGTATATACTTTCGTGTTTTGTGACTTTAAGCCCTGAAAAGGGCTAGTGCCCTCCCCCCTTCCGGGGCCGGGCTCACCAGTGTCCAGTGCTGACACTTTTGCCTCGGCGCGTGGGCCTATTAACCCCCCTGGTGGCTCACCGACTTAGCCGGATGTTATCTTTCGATAACGTTGCTATCCAGGGAGGCAATTAGCCCTAGGGCTGGGCTTTTGGTCGTGGTGCTGACTTTTATTGGCTGACCTTAAGACCCTTTGGTTGGCTGCGTATTGTAACAGAGCGTACCGGCATTCCGCCTCAACTCCCGCCTACTAAAGTCTCCCCAATGTCTAAGTTCACCTAACTTTATCTCAGGTGGATTATTGTCAAATTTAACCAGTTTTTCCCACGGGTGTCCCTATACCAATGATGTGTTAGCCACCTATTCAATTATCCAAATGTTCCTGAGTTGTGAATTTGGAATATATTTTGATGAGGTTGAATTTTGCGTACTTAGCGTACTTATATGGTTCTAGAAAAAAGTAAATCAATCTCTAGGTGTATGTCACCTAATTTTGACATTTATCACCGCTTTGACAATGTTTGGTTTTTAATTTTGACTGCCTTTCCAAAGGATCTCGTTTTAATGTTGGGTCTCTTAGGCCAAAGTGAAGACATAGGTTGTAGGCTTATTTTCGGACATTTGGCCGCGCGGCACGAACTGTCCATCGCTAATCGGTCTACTCCGCTCCTGGGAGTTAGGGCTATCAGGGGGGGGGGAGGTTCCTGATTTTCCCTTATCGGACTTGACTTTTTTGTCCTTGTCATGGTGGGAAATCTTATCCTATATATATAGTGCTTATAGGAGTCAGGATCCACCCAGGCTTGTGCTAGTAGGAGTCCTAGCGCCTGTTTTATGTTATGGACTAGGTATGGTGCTTGCAGTTATGTATATGTTTGTATGCGGGGATGGGTTATTAGGGTTCCGATACAGGCTTATTGAATGACTAATCTAGAGAACGTTTGTCTTATATATCTGCTAACCATGGGCGCCCGCAGCATAGGTAAAGGGGGTCACATGCCCCCCTCCTCTCCGCAAAAATCTGACAACGAACAGTGTAAAACTAGTATCTATCTAGTCCTAGCGCATTTGACTCTTAAAGTTTAATCACGCAAATGAAGCTAGAAAGATGTCACAAAATTCTGCTCAAAGCGCTTAGTAAATATTAGTTTTAGTTTCCGACTGCTTACTATACCAACTCTCCCGCCGTGACTAACTGACCCCCCCCCAACCCTGCAAAAAATCCTGCGGGTGCCCCTGCTGCTAACTTTCCCAGTAACATGAACATGATAATTGCATTAATTATTACATCAGTGATGCTCTTGTAAATACGATATTATTGGACTGGATTATTATTAAATGCATTTAGAAGGCTAGTACTAGTATATGATCAGTATAATGTAATTCCATCTGTTAAGTACAGTTTATTCTGTTTATACGATCTGATAATTTTTTTTTACCTCTGTCGGCTTTATATTTTTCTTTATAAAATATTTTAGAGCTCGAGTGTTGTTTTAATATATTAGTGAAGTATCCTTCCGCTGTTTTTCAGTGATAGAACATAACTCCGATACAGAGAACTGTATTAATGTATTAGTTAAGGATCTTTTTATTGCTACCAGGGATAGAAAATAAAAGTGTGTGTGTGTGTGTGTGTGTGATGCGGAATTTTAGTATAGCTTTAACAATTTTTCAGTCATATCGCTTCGAGCGCTGGGACATCATGCTGCAGACATGTAGCATCATGTCCCACCCATGTACATTATCCTAACACCAGGCCGACCAGTCCTAACACTAACCTCTTAATGCCGAGCGTCTAGCGAGGTAGCTGTTAGTGCCATTTTTAAAATTCTTTGATAAGACTCTGCGGGGGTTCGAACCTGCGACTTTCCGCATCTGAGGCGGAAGCTTTAACTACTAGGCCAGAGTGGCAACCTAGCAATATAGTATCCACCTTGATGTACACAGTCTTGATTGATATAAATGTGAAGAAATTCGATGTATTAATATTAGATAAGACAGGGCTTAAAAAGAGAAGCAAATGATGAAAAGCTCTACCGACCTACTCTGAACCATTTTGGTGAGCTCTATAGTTTAGTATTTTGCATAGGTTAGATTTTAAAGAAAGATAATTTTCCTGGTAATCCTCACTGACTATAATGGCTATTTAAAAAAGGCCTTATGTATCTTATTTATTGTTAAGCTATATATCTTAGGTATTGTGAATACTAGAAAAGAGAAATTTGGTTATACAACCAGGGGAATTACGTAGCGGATCCAGGAATGAAGTGGAAGGGGATGTAAGCAAATGGACAGGAAGTCTATAGAATGGAGCTCTTATATTTTTTGAGCGTTTACAGATTATAATTTGAACCGCCTGTGTAAAAACGAAAATAACCATTTGTTGCTTGTTTTCCGAAAGAAGGAATCGTTACATTACACTCCTTATCCTCTTTCCCCGACCCTTTCCTTATTCATGATGCAGTTAGAAAATTATTAGGGGTGGGAATAAAACTCAATCAATGATTTCATTACAGAAAAAAATAGATACTTTGTATTAATTAGAACAGAAACCCACGTTTATTCAGTTTTACACGCTGATGGAACTAATTTACACAGGCAGAGGAAAATACAATTTCTTTATGAATCAGTGATTATAAATAATCTTAACTATAATCAATGATGAAGTAACTGCTAATACTTTTAAGGAGTGGGTGTGCGTGCGTGTGTGTGTGTGTGTGATTTAGATCTTTAAAGTAGATTTAACAATGTTTTCTGTCATATCGCTACGATGTTTGGCTGCAGTGTGGCAGTTTATAATGATGTCTAGCACTGGGGGCATCATGCCGCAAACATGTAGCACGATGTCCTACCCAGTCACATTATCACGACACCAGGTCGACCAGTTCTAACACTAAACTCTTAATGCTGAGTGCCAGCAGATCGAGGCAGCTGTTAGTACCATTTTTTAATATAAGCTTTTGGAATGACTCGGTCGGGTATCGGACCCACGTCCCGTATCCGAAGCGGACGCTCAAACCACTAAGCCACCGGAGCGGTCCTTCAAAGTGTAAACCAGATAGTTTGTTCTCACCCGACTCTATAGTCACACCAACAGATGAAAGTTCTAACCTGCGACCTGTGAGATTTTTGTGCACATGCTCTTGCTAACATTTTTCTAACCGTTTATATAGTTTATTATGTAATATAAATCATTAAAAGATATGAGCCCCAGGCTAAAAGCATCAAAAATTAATTTTTAAAACATATTAAAATCGATTTAGAAGCAACAGTTCTACATTTGTAATCTCTTATTGCAAACGTAAGTGTTTCAAGATAGCTGCAAATCGGCAAAAGTGCATAAGAAAGGTTCGAAAACCGCTGTCTAACATTATTGTCATGTATCTGTATTACTGTACTCTATCTAAAGTGCATAAGAAAGGTTCGAAAACCGCTGTCTAACATTATTGTCATGTATCTGTACTACTGTACTCTATCTAAAGTGCATAAGAAAGGTTCGAAAACCGCTGTCTAACATTATTGTCATGTATCTGTAAGAATACTGTACTCTATCTAAAGTGCATAAGAAGTACGTTTATTAATAGTTGCAAAATGATATCGTGCAGCACGACCTGGATTCACATGGTCAATCAGTATATCACTCGGTAACACATTAGTTGACGCATTTTTGCTACCCTTTGTTTCGTACTAGATCAAGGAAATTAGGTTAGTGCAGTTTCTTTTAATAATGGCAAGACTTTAACCGAGCCTGACATTAGAAGTTGCACCCAATACTAAATTTTGTGAAATGTATTATCATGGCAAGAAATTAGCGATTTATTATAAATTCCAAATCATCTGACAGCCATCGCATCAACCAATGTGTTCTCCATGGGTCCGTGTTGGCACTATTATTATTTTTACTTTTCACCAACGAAATTGATCCAATTTTCATATGTATCCATTCTTTTTTTTGCATAATTTGCATTTTTATATTTTCGTATATACTTTGTGTTGGTTTTATCTTCCTCCTTCTATCTCTATGATCCTAGGGATGCTCCTTTGGCTAGTAAGTTTTTCAGCTGGAATATTTTTTATTCATGGTTGTTAAATGTATCTGAAAACAGCACTAGCTGCGACTTACTATTGTGCGTAGCCAGGTGCCTCAAGTTATTCAAGCTATTTTTCAGTTCATTGTTTCTTCAGTTCTTGAACGTTTCCCATTCCATACAAATAAATAAACCTAGGTTCCTTCCTGCTCACTACAACCCGGGTGGTAATATCTACGATAACTTCTCAATGATTACTGCTAAATCGTGTCGTTTTGGATCTGCACTCACCTGTCAGACTGTATCCTGGTTGATGATGTGCGTTTGTAGCATCCAGTAAACAATTTATATAACTCTTGTTTTAGTCCATGGATTTTATTGCCAGTTTGTCAAGTGATTTTGTTAGATGAAAGTAGGTCTTTCCTGAATGCATTTAACACATCACCTACATCACTCATGCGTTAGCTGATATTCAATTATCAAAAATGTTGCAGTTTCTCTTGCATTTATGAAGTTAGAGTCTTTGTTATTTGCACAATATCAAACTGATAAGTAACCACAAGTTCATGGTTCATTGAATCCATTTGTTTTTCCGTTATCAGCTACTACCTTTGACAGGCAATCATCTCACCATGACATTGAGGTCTTCTTTCTCTTTGTTCTTATCCTGTTTCATGTTTCTTTGAATTATATATATATATATATATATATATATATATATATATATATATATATATATATATATATATATATATATATATATATATAGAGAGAGAGAGAGAGAGAGAGAGAGAGAGAGAGAGAGAGAGAGAGAGAGAGAGAGAGAGAGAGAGAGAGAGAGAGATTACAGTATCATTGGTCTCATGCGAGAACCCGGTGTTGTTTAGTAGTTCCCTGGCCTTGTTCACTCGGCTAGTGCAGACGGTCAATGTACCAGGCTATGTGTTTGTCTGCCGCATAATTTGCAAACATAAAGTGATGTTACTATGTAGTATATTTTGTATGATATGCAACAGAGCGTGAGATAGTCTGTAACCTTCACCTGTACATATTCTTTGTAAAGACCGTGCCAGACGTGTTAACAAATCGTATAATATTTAACAGTAGTGCAGGTGCTGCACGAGAAAGCATGACGGCAAGTAACATCAACACCAGTTGTACGTTTAGAACTGCTATTGGAACTGAAAAGGGCAAAAGGTTAATATAAATCATATCACCATACAGGTTAGAGAATCTTTTTTTTTTCGGACGAATTATAAATTATTTAACCTGTATAATTATTTGTATTTAATGTTAATGCTGCCTAGTATCATTAGGAATTCTCTCTCTCTCTCTCTCTCTCTCTCTCTCTCTCTCTCTCTCTCTCTCTCTCTCTCTCTCTCTCTCTCTCTCTATATATATATATATATATATATATATATATATATATATATATATATATATATATATATATATATATATATATCCCGAAAGATACCGCCATATTGGATAATGTCATCTCTTAGAAAGCTGTCGTACGTTCATTTGAAGGACGACAATTTATGAACTGGACGGTTGTACATGTTCGTCTTAAGGGGTGGGCGATACAAGCAATTGCCCAGTGCGCTAGACCCGGGTGGAAGGGTGATGGTACCAAATGTACGCTCGTCCTGTGCGCCGTTTCGTCTTAAACAAAACTTGAGACGGCCCAGCAATTCAATATTCGTTATAAGACTACAATGACAACTGCGCTTGTCAAACTTTACAGTTTGATTCATGGCAATAACAGATATCAACAGCTAAAGCTAAAGATTGGTTAAATTACGCACTCCCATAGTGTTTGTACGTGAGCTTTATCCGTTGTACATGCGTTTTCCGGACCAAAATGTATTTTGCTGGAAAACACAATAGTTTTAGCTATGAACTTTAATAAAACATTATATTGATAACGCTTTATAATGAGCTGAAAATTGTTTCTTTGAATGGAAAAAGACTCTGATAATCAGCTTGTAGAAAAATTCTTCTAGTATTAGAATCGTATTCCAATTCATTCTAATAACTCAACTTTTTTTGTTGCTATAATATTGGTATAGCGCGGTCTGTAAAACATCTCTCTCCAATGCACCCACACGCTGCACATATTGAACTATGAAAAAAATGATGCTTTCAAAAGCACCATGCAATTTAAGCAAAGGAAAAAAGGAATGTATATAAAAAAATCTCACCTGCTTGTTGAAAAGTAGGGTGAAGCCTTCAAAAAGCCAATGATGCAAGAAACTTCTTGCGTTACATTATACGTATATACTATATGTATCATACAGCTCTTCACGTGCTGTCCAATACCAGTATCCGCACATACCGGCTTTTGAAGTATCTAAAACCACTTCATGAGCAAGTGGAAGATTACGTACATAAGTAGCAAGAAAAATTCCGATACTTTCCTAATTCAGTTATTCAAGGATGATAAAGGAATATGAAACAAAAGAAAGTCTTTAGGCTGGACTAAAATTCACACAAGAAATCTCATCTTTGCTGCAAAGGTTTGAGTATCACTGTTTTGTTTTCACGAATAAACCACGATCATTGAAAATGTGGAAAAGAGTATGGCGCCTTCGTCACTTCAAACCGGATGCACATACGTCTTTAAAGAGCAAAGCTCGCCTTCATCAGTACTTTCAAACTGCAATGAACCGGCGTTGTCACTTTTGTACTGTATCCGGACTTTGCGGATATATCTGATCAGATATGCAAATCCTTAAGCCCGTCCATGTGTTCGCCTGTCTGTCGATTCTGCTTGTGATCTGAACTCAGCTTACTCTGAGAGAGAGAGAGAGAGAGAGAGAGAGAGAGAGAGAGAGAGAGAGAGAGAGAGAGAGAGAGAGAGAGAGAGAGAGAGAGA